GACCCCGAATATGAAATTGAGGGAAGAGGGCCTCTTGCAAAAAGCCAGGCCCGCCTTCACTTAGGGCGGGCACCTCCGCCTTCACTTAGGGCGGGCACCTCCGCCTTCACTTAGGGCGGGCACCTCCGCCTTCACTTAGGGCGGGTAAGGCTGCAGATGGGGCCCAGTAGGCCTACCGAGGACACTGATCCTCGCAATGGTATCTGTTCCCCATGTGAGTTTGACCTGTTCATCTTTCCCCTTGCAGTCACTGTGTGAGATTGATCTGTTCTTTTGCAAGTATCCCTCCACAAAGAATCCCACTGTGATTCTGAGGACATGACTATTGTGATTACAGTTTTTAGTGATGAACTTCAGAAAAAGTTTAGATTTTCTTAGTATTTTCATTTCTTAGGGATAATTTAGATTGTGATGATAATTTTGGTTACTTTTTGAGTTGTTGGGGCTGTGGAGTTGGTTGTTGAGTTGGCTGTGGGGTTAAATCTAGTGGTGTCCTCTATGTGTTTGGCCGATGATGCCTTGCCCACTGACGGCCCCACCTAATTTTGTAAGGGATGCCCGGCCCGGTTCCGGGCTTTTATAAAGTCATTGTTCCATTATAAAAAAAAAAAAAAAAAAAAAAAAAAAGATCAAAGTGGTAATAAAAAGAAAAAAAAAGAAAAGAAAGATAAAGTGTGGTATCTTTCTTTCTTTTTTTATATTTTATTTTATTTTTTTAAGTGTAGTATCTGTTTTTTTTTTTTTTTTTTTCTTACAAGGAAAACTCAGCTCATTTGATTACGCACACAGAAATAGAGGCCGGGAATCCTCAACAAACAACCCGGTGGGAATCCTCAACAAACAACCCGGTGGAAACCTGAAAGCAAAAACAGTAAGGTGTCGGGGTGGGATTTAGCGACAGAAATGGCCAAAACCAGACCGCTGTGCTGACAACCGCCGACCCTGGAAACAAAGAAAAAGTACGCTTCAGGCCTGCAAATCCTCACAAACCAAATCTAAAGTCCCTTCCTAGATAAAAGCCTCACGGCCTCAACTAAGGAAACACACTCCAAACTCAGCTATTCTGAGTCTTCCTATTGACCTACAGTCTCGGCTAGCTATCCTATCCACCCACTTAATCTACTTCTGGCAAAAACAGGGGCCCCTAATGGCGGGGCAGGGTCCAACCGGAGCCCTTAGTCCAAGTCACGCTCCCTCCACTCTTTACACCTACTGCCTGTCTCCTGCGACCTGACAATAACCGAGCGTGCAGGTTAAGAAAAGCAATCTCAGAAAGTGAAGAAACAGTAAGGGGGGACACCGTAGTCTTACCCGTTGCGAAGCGGGTATCTACTTAGTAGAGGGGACAACAAAAACGATGAGTTGCT